GGAGGAAGAGGAGGAGGGAGAAAGTTCTTTTTAGTGAACAATGTCTGGCAGATGGTGATACTTAGGATCACAGGGATTAGAAGGGACCTTAGAAATCATCCAGTTCCAAACTCTCATTTTATTTTTTGAGATGAGGCAACTGGAACCAGGAGAGAGGAAGTTGCTTGTTCAGAGTCAGGTAGGTAATACGTAGAGTTACACAGTGCTGATCTGAACCCAGGTCTTTTGATTCCAAACCCAGTGCCTCTCTGTACACCAAACAGCATTGCTGGATCTCAGTCTTCATCCAGATTAAGAAGGGAGGAATAGGCATGATTTTCCCCATTTTAGGGACAGGGAAACTGAGAAATTCAGTGGAGGGTTTCATCAAAACCTCCTTTTGGAATTGATCCTTGAAAGAAGCTATGGTCCAGAAAGGCTGATTGGCCCAAGAATAAAAACAGCAAAATAGTATGTGAAAAGGGACCAGAATTCAGAATTTAAAAATTCATGACCAAGTGAGGTATGTTGATGGGGGTAAGGCCTTCCTGCCTTTTTTTTATTTTTTGCTGCTTCATTTTTGAAGAAATTCTGAACACCAATGAACATTTCCATATACAAAGTAGAACAGAAAGGATTATATATAAAAATGCAACTTTCTATTATGTCTAGCTTGCTTTTTCTTTTGCACTTATAACAAATTTAGCACATAGTTTTCAAAGCTATCTTGCTTATCTGTGTTTCCTTCTGGCCTTCTCTCTGTTCTTCTCTGTGCATTAACAAATGCTTCAATGACCCTCTTTTCTTTCTTTTCTTTTTTCTTTTTTCTCCTTCATTCTTCTCTGGACTCAGCCCCTGATTCTCTGGACTTCTTTCTCTGCCATTACCCAGGAGCCTTCTGACCCAGAAGATTCTTCTGTCTCCTGATCTCCTCACTCTGAAACATACTTCTGTCGCTGTATCCCCGCCCTCTGATTGGTTAGTTCCTCCCAGAGCCTCCATTTTAAGGGAGCCATACTCATTCTTTCATTCTTCTCCAGACTTTGCTCCTGACTCTGAAGCCCCAGTGTGGGTTCTACTTTCTTCCCCCAGCTTTTCAGCTTGCTTTTTATGTGCTATCTTCCCCCATTAGAGTGTAAGCTCCTTGAGGTCAGGGACTGTGTTTCATCTGCTTCTATTTCTATTCCCAGTGCTTAGCAGTTAAAGTTGCTTGTTGACTTGACTTTTTTTTTTTCCATAGAGGAGGGACAATCCTTTCACCATCTTTTTTGTCTCTTCTACCTTCACCATTAAAAAAGTATTATAACACATAGGTAAAGTAAAAACAGCAACAACAGCAAAAATTCCCCCGTGTGTCTATGTCTGAAAACATATGTCTCATTCTTCACTTTAAGAACATCATTTCTTTATTGAGAGGTGGATAGCACACTTCATCAATAGTCTTCTGGAACACTTTCCTGACATTTTCTTTTCTGGGTGGGCTATGGATCAAAATTCCTACCTGCCTTGTTCGAAAACAGAAATAAAGAAAAGAAACATTTAAAGAGATCAAACAAATGGGAAAAGGACCCACATGTACAAAAATATTCATAGCAGCTCTTTTTGTGGTGGCAAAGAATTGGAAATGGAGAGGATGCCCATCCATTGGGGAATGGCTGAGCAAGTTGTGGTCTATGAATGTAATGGAATACTATTGTGCTATAAGAAATGATGAACAGGCTGACTTCAGGAAAACCTGGAAAGACTTCTATGGTCTGATGCTGAGTGAAGTGAGCAGAACCCAGAGGACTTTGTACACAATAACAGCCATTTTATGCGATGACTAAGATTGTTAAACTGAACCTTTCTCAGCATTATGAGGATCTAAGACATCTCCAGAGGCCTCGGGATGGATAATGCTGTTCACATCCAAAGAAAGAACTATGGAAGTCAAATCGCTATCACTTATTTTTACCCTCTGTTGAGTTTTGTTTCATCTTTCTGATGGTTCCTCGTATTGGTTTTAATTTTTACTTACCACTTCACTAATGTGAAAATATGTTTAATGGGTATGTAAATGTAAAGCCTATATCAGATTGTGCGCCGTCTTGGGGAGGATGGGGGGGAGGAAAAGGGAGAAAAATTTTCAACTCAAAAGCATATGGAAAAAATAAAAAAATTTAAATTAAAAAAAAAAAAGAAAAGAAACATTTAAGAAAACCTCATATGCAATGGGAGATTAGACTCTGTTTAGTTACATTCACCAGAAACTTAAAATTGACGGCCATCCTAAGGGCAAGGAAGAGTTCCAGAGTGGATAAGAAGAGGCAGCAAAGCACTAGCAGTGGAGCACTGGGCGAGAGAAAGATTAAACACGATGTTATCAAAGATAAGTTGACCAGACAAGTTGTTCACACAGTGAAATGGAAGGATAACAACCCAGTGTTCCATTCGTATCCCCGCAATATCAAAGAACCTACAAGAGTGTCCCCAGTCTTGTTGGGTAGACAATATGTGAAGGACTTACAGGAAGACAAGAGCAAGGGTCAAACAAGATGAAAAGTTGTGGGTGGATTGTGTTCTTAACCTGTGGAGAGAGTAGATATCCTTATGGCTGAGATCATAGACCCATCCAAGTGTAGCAGTGGGAAAAGCAGCAGACTGGTGAGTCAGAAGATCTGGTTGTTAAACTAACTCAGCTTCTTCATGACCTTGGAGAAGCTGCTTTGCCTCAATGGGGTCCAGTTTCCTCATCTGCAAACAAGTCAATAAAGAAACAAATGAAGAAATAACCTCGTCATCTCTGTAATTCCCGTGTCAGCTTTATTTGTTGACTATGTTCCTTTTTTCAAATATCACCACGCTAATTTAATTCTTTTCAAAGAACATTTATAAGCACACACTATGTGTAAGAGTAGGCAGGAGATTGTGTATCGCTGGAGATAGAGAGATACATCAACCCTGTCTCAAGCAATTTATAATGGGGGTGGGGAGTGGGAAGACATGTACAAAAATAACTATGAAACGAGGACAGTGAGAGAAGTGTAAAGGAGAGATCCAGGCAAATTGCTATGAGAAACCTGAGGAGGAAAAAGTCACTGTTACCTAGGAGGGGAGGGGAAAGGGAAGGCAGGCTCATAGGACCATAGATTTAGAGTTGGAAGGGATTTTAGTGATTATTTAGTCCAACCTTCTCATTCTATATATGAGGAAACTGAGGCCCAGAAAAGTTAACATGTTTTCAAGGTCGCACAGGTAACAGGTACCAAAACTGAAATTTGAACCCAGGTCTTTGGATAGCAAATCCACTGCACCATCCCTGCCTCCTTCCTTTAGGGAAAGTTTCTTGAATGAAGTGGTCAAACTAAGTTGGTCCTTGAAGGAAATAAGGGATAAACAAGATGGAAATAGTATGGGGGAAAGAGTCCCTTTCCACCATCCTAATCTTGGATAACTTTAAGCTTTGAACAGAAAGAGAGAAGGGGGAAGGTTAGGTTTGGGAGTAAAGATGAGCTGACTTGGAGTCATGTTGGATGTGAGGTGCTGGCAGGGCATACAGGTAGAGATATCCTAAAGATAGTAAGAACAGGGAATAACCCAATTTGGATTTACTAACCCTGATCTTAGGACCTCAGGCCTCTTTGAAATGCTACTTCTCCTATATAAGTCATCACTGGTAATTTGCTACAGCTTACTTATGCCATGTTACTTATGACACTTATAGGTCATCTTTTCATTGCCCTTTGAGCTGCTTGAAAATTTTCAATTGCAATGGGGAGGGGAGTTTGATTGAGTTGATCAACCACTTATCTCATCCCATCTAAAGTAAGTGTCAAGATGCTATGTCTTGATTTGCCAGGTGAATATTCTTCTCGATTGAGTCAATAGATCAATTATAGGGTTTAAATTGAATGTGAAAAGTCCTTTAGATGTCTTCAAAAGTCATTGGATGAACTGGGGTGATGTTTCATAGGAAGTGGATTTGAGGACCAATTTGGATTCTGGGCATTCAAGCATCTTACAGCGTAGGGTGGAACCTTTCTAGCCAAGTTTCTGAGAAGCAATCACTTGGAGGGAAGGAGAAGGACTCTAGCCACGGCCCAGCCTTCTCCTCCACATTTAACCAGAGGAGGACCTTGTGAACTTTGGCAGGTTAGAGATTGGGATTTTCTATCAGCACCCTGGCAGGACCTAGGATAATAGTGACTAGTGGCAGTTTTAGCATAAGGAGCCAAGGATAAAGTAGATACAATGAGAAAAGACAGGCTTAAGATACCACAAGAAAGCCTGTGGAACAATCAGACTATGCCTGAGGGGAATTTCATGAGCTCCCTGTGACAGGAAGAAAAGAATATTTGGCAATTAGGAGCTGTTAAGTAACCTTTGTCGTACATGCTGTATAAACCCACTTTCCCTTGAACTCTGTACATAGTAGGAAAATGGGTCATAAGCTGGGGGGGGGCGGCGCTGTGGACATGTTTTGTACCAAGTGTTTTTACTATGCCATCCTAGTAAATATCCTTTTCTAAAAGACTGGCTAACTGATACCAATTGATATACTGCTGGGAGCTTCTGAGCTATACAGCAATAGAAAAATATCCTCCAGCCCTTTAGGGCTTCCATTAGAGCACTGAACTGACAGTAGCCTCCATCTGTTGACCCAAACTGCCAGTGCAAGTGGGATTTGGAAGAGTAAGTCCAGAGCATGTGCTACATATTTATGCTGGGCTGTGGTTTTCCCTGATGGCATATAATATCACCAGTAGAAAGCTGGTGTTTTTGTGACAACGAGAAATTTGGGATCATTGAAAGCACTGTGAAATTTTTTAAAGGTAATCAAACTCAGTCTCCTTCTGCTTTTTGATTCCAACGTCAATTTGCAGCACTGGTCCAAGATATACATATATTGATGGGCTAACTCAGTATGTCATATTCTGGGATATATGTATTTTTCTTCTGTCTCTTTCTAGTGTGCGTGGTGAAATCTATCTCTATTTTCTTTTGCATTGTAGTAAATTTCTTTGAGGATATAGAAGATAAAATCCAAGAAAGAAAGAGCGGTAAAATCCATGGCCTCAAATGTTTATTCTCTCTTTTTTTTGGGGGGGTGGGGCTAGGCAATGGGGTTAAGTGACTTGCCCAGGGTCACATAGCTAGTAAGTGTCGAGTGTCTGAGGTCAGATTTGAACTCTAGGGTTAGTGCTCTATGCACTGCACCACCTAGAAGCCCCAAATGTTTATTCTCAAACACCAAAAATTTAGGCAACAAGTAAGAGGAACTAGAGATCCTAATGCAAGAAGGCAAATTTGACTCATGGGCATTACCGAGGCTTAGGGAACCAACCCTGTGATGACAATGTGGTGAGTATACCATATTCAAAAGAAACAAGATAGGTGAAAGGAGGATGAGATCAGTGGTATAGCACTATATGGTAAGAAGGTATATTCATGTGAAGGAATCTTTGAATCATAGTTGCAGAGTATTTGGGTAATAGTGTAATGGCAGCATTTTTTCCTCATTTTCCCCTTCTAGGCAGAAAGAAAATAGACTAGGAGTTCAGGAAAAAGATCAGAAACTGGACAAAAGGGTATGATATAGTAATGAAGATGAGCTCTCTCTCTCTTTGCCAAAAGCAGAGCAATTAATAACTTCTTGACTTACCTTAATGATGACTTCATTTTTCAAAAGTTGAAGGAGCCAACAAGGAGAAGTAGAATTCTAAATTTGATTCTTATTAATGGGGAAGAACTGGTTGCCGAGAGGGAAATGATGGGAACTTTAAGGTGAAATAAACATCCTCTCCTTGAGTTTATGATAGAAATAAAGGAAATCAGACCTAATCTAGATTTTAGGAAAGTCTTTGGGTGTTTTTTAATAGCTATATTGAGAAAAAAAGAGGGAGATCAAAGAAGGGCTGATACTGATACTTCAGGTGGGTGAGATAACTGACAACAGAAAGATGGCAGAGCTACTCTTCCAATTCTGCTTCCATTTTCTTTGCCAAGGAAAATGACCTTTGCACTGGAAATGACAAAACAACAACAACAACAAATTACTAACAGGGAGTTGATACCCAAGAAAAGCAAGAATATAGTAAAGAGAGTACCTAGCTACCCTTGATGAATTGAAGTCACCTGGCCCAAATGATCAATATCCTTGGGTACTGGTACAACTGGCAGATGGGATTGCTGAACCACTACCAGTGATATTTGGAAGATCTTAGAGAGCAGAGGTACAAAACTGGAGAAAGTAAAACATTTTTTCCAATTTTCTAAAAGGAAGAGAATTGAGTCAGCAAACCTTCAGCCAGTGAACTTGATTTTTTTTTCCCCAGAAAAATTCTAGAGTGGATCATTAAAAAGATGGTCAATGAATATCTAGAAAAAGCAGTGATCACAGAGTCAACATGGCTTTATTAAGAACATGCTATGCCAGAATAACCTTATTTCCTTTTTTAAACAAGTTTATTAAACTGATAGACCAAAAGAATGTCCTAGAGCTGGTTTACCTTGATTTTAGCCAAGTATTTGATAAAGTATCGCATACTATTCTTGTGGAACAGATGGCAAGATATGGACAAGATAATATCATAATCAGATTGTTGGCTGGATTCACTCAACTGAAAGAATGATAATTAGAGTACTGGGTCCAGAATCAGGAAGACCTGATTTCAAATCTGGCCTCAGATACTTACTAGCTGTGTGACTCTGGGCAAGTCACTTAACCCTGTTTGCCTCAGTTTCCTCCTCTGTAAAATGAGCTAGAGAAGAAAATGGCAGACTACGCCAGTATCTTTGCCAAGAAAACCCCCAAAATGACTCACAAAGAGTTGGACAAGGCTGAAATGACTGAACAATTATGATGGATAGGAGTAAGGATAGTTATGATGGATGATAGTAATGATTCAATATCAACATGACAGGAGGTCTCCAGTTGAATGCCCCAGGGATCTGTACTTCTTCTGTATTGTTTAAGATATTTATCAATTACTTGGATAAACACATCAATGGAACATTTATCAAATTTGCGGATGAATCAAAGATAGGAAGGATTGCTAATATACTGTATGGCAGAGTCAGGATTCAAAAAAATCTGGACATTGTGCTGAATTCAATAAAATGAAATTCATACCAGTTCCACGATGAACAGGCAGAGCAAATAGCAAAGAAATCCATTTATTCAAATGATAACAAAACAGAAATCAGAGAAGGTATACACAGGAGAATATATACCAAACAATACAGAGTAAAGGAGCTCTCCTACTGAAGGTTAGATAACAGCTCAACTAAGAGAGAGAGTCCTGGATCTCACCCAAGGAGAGACTCCCAAAGTGCTCCAGAATAACAAGCTTGGAATAGGGACATGATGGAGACTGCGAGCTTTTCTCATGTCTTCCTAGAGTCTCTTCCTTCAGTAATCTGAAGTAAGGTTGGCCTCTTTCATCTTCTCTCCAGAGACTGGAAGCCAGAAGCACCCAAAGAAACCTGAAGCTAAATGAATCCCAAAGAAGATTGGTCCAGAAGAGTCATGAAAGTGGACTGGTAATACCTGGGGCTCTCTTGCCTTTTGCCAGTTTTGCTCTGCCCCTCACAGGGTAGGGCATTCATCTCTGCCAATAAGGATAGAGTCCCATACCAGTGGGTTGTGGGATAAGGGTTACATATGAGCACAATTCTGGTGTTCCAAGGGCCATAGATATTGTTAAGAACCCTTCAAGGTTGAATGTGATCCACATGAACCCACAGTTTCAGCAATGGGCCATGGGTTAGCAAGGATATACCTTTGTAAGAATTTTTTTTGGTCAACCTTATGTTTCTGGCATCATCAGTGGGCATAAAAAATTATTTTCAAAGATTTTACTGTAAGGCTTTTGTTTAAAGTGAAGGATTCCATCACTACAAAACATTTGCAGAACACTGTCCTAGAGACCTCTATGGTCCCTCCCAGGAATCATGAGAGACCACATGCTTGTACAATGAGATCTAGCTCAGTAAGTTTTCTGAAAAAGGCTTCAGGGACTCTACCCTGTAGCTGCCCCTTAGGCTGTGTGGGGCTGCCCACACCTGGGGGCTTATAGGGTGAGGCAGAGAAGCTCAAGAAGAACTCTGTTCTGGGAGCACTGCCTTCTGACTAAGCATAGAACCATAATTGTAACAACTATTTCAGTCAGGTAGTTACCAAAATATTATTTTCTTAGTTTTTACTTTGGGCTCCTTGCTTGGCATTGTGGGGGATATTAAAAATGTGAAACTGCTAAGCCACTCAGCAAAGAGAATTCAGAAATGCTAAGAACTCAGACGAGAGTAAGATTTATCTGTATTGGTACCAGCATGGGACCATTGCTAAAAATGGCACCCCTGCCACCCTATTCTCATTGCCTGAGATTCTACCATTAGCTATCTCTTTGCACTAAGCGTTACTTGGTCTCTTAAAACAGCAAACACTGCTTGTAAGAGTGATACTTTAAGGCTTAGATTCTTATAATCTAGCCACGGCTCTGATTCTTACAATCTAGCCACTGCTCCGATTCCTAAAATCTAGCCATGGTTCAGATTCTTATAATCTAGCCACTGCTAACTCAAGTTCAGACTCCTTAAGAGTCTGACCAATATGATGGATGTTCTAATAAACCTTGTCTTTGCTGAAAAAAAAAAAAAAGAATAATACTTTAAGTCCCTAACACTATAGTATGAACGAATTTATCAGAAAACTTTTCTCAGTGACAAGTGAGGGAAAACAAGAGCAATCTGTATGTTTTTAGTGTCAGCAGGAGCAGATTTGATACGGAACGAGATCATTCCCATTGAATGGGAAGGGAGGGAGCAAAGGAGGGAGGGAAGGAAGAATCTCAGAAAATAGGGAGAGAGAAGTAGGGACCTAGGGCAGATAATATTGTTTGCTCCATCCAGAACACATGAGAGTAAGTTAAAGAAGCCACAAAAAGACTGCCTGGAAGGGAGGGAAAATAATGTGAAAGAAGAAGGAATAAGTTTTACCTTTATTTTCTTGATGATAGCAGAGGGAGGAAGGAAAGATATTTATGGGCTAATCGTCTTGGGCCTTTTTCGTCACCAGCTGGTGAGCCTTCTTTTCCTCTTCTACCAACTGCTTCCCTGAATCACTGCCCAGCCATCTAGAGCTGGAGACAGGACAACCAAAGGCGAGGGCCCTGCGATTTGCTGCATCCTAGGGAGAGCTCTGCGTGGGGAGTGTTGAAAACATTGCTCAAGGTCACAAGTTTCTCTACTCAGATTCCTCTGGTCCTTCCAGGTCCCGGCATCTCTGAAGTCTCCTCCAGCTAGAAGGGGGATGAGGTGCTGTTGGAGTCATGGAGAATGTGAAAGGAGAGTGATGGGGGACACAGATGGGACTTCCTAAGCTTGCCCCTCCAGAGTATTCAGATCCCACCTCCGAGCTGCATAATCTGTATAACCATGAGGGTGGCACGTCACCTGCCTGTGCCTCAGTTTCCTTATCTGTAAGATTGAAGAGTTATCCCAGAAGATTTCTGAGGTCCAGTCTAATCCTATGAATTGAAGCAGCTACCAGTTTGGCGCACTAGGTCCCAATGTCCCCTTTCTCTATGTTCGAGTTAACTTTACCGGTAAGCTGACAGATGTTAAAGCCTGGCCCCTAGTGGTCACCACCTAATACTACATGATTAGCCCCCTCCCCTCAGGCTCCCTCCACCCACTAATTCTTTAGACCTAGCGAATTAAAGAAAAGGGGGGGAAAAAGCATATGAGCAAAAAAAAAAAAGGAAGGGCTTTTGTGCACTCGGGGTGTCGACTTTAAATTTTGTACGATATTAACTTAAAAACTCTCACCGGATGCCCATCAATTGGGGAATGGCTGAACAAGTTGTGGTATATGAATGTAATGGAATACTATTGTGCTATATGAAATGATGAGCAAGTGGACTTCAGAAAAACCTGGAAAGACTTGTATGGTCTGATGCTGAGTGAAGTGAACAGAACCAGGAGAACGTTGTACACAATAACAGCCACGTTGTGCAATGACTAATATTGATAGCCTTAACCCTTCTCAGCAATACAAAGATCTAAGACATCTCCAAAGGCCTCATGATGAAAAATGCTATCCACAAAGAAGAAAGAACTATGGAGTTGGAATGCAGATTGAAACATACTATTTGCTATTTTCTTTTCTTCTGTTGTGTTTTGTTTCCTCTTTCTGGTGGCTTCTCCTATTGGTTCTAATTCTTACATCACAAATGGGAAAATATGTTTAATAGGAATGTATATGTATAGCCTATATCAGATTGCATGCCGTCTTGGGGAGGGAGGAGGGAGGGAAGAGGAGAAAAATTTAAAACTCAAAAGCTTATGGAAGTGATTGTTGATAATTCAAAGTAAATTAATTTATAAATGAACTCAAAAAAAAAAGTAAAGACTCTCACCCACAATACACAGTTCTCAGTTCTTATCATCTTCCTTGGGATGGTCTTCCTTTTCCTTGCTAGAGCACTTGAAAAAAAATTCATTTCCAAAGTAAGTTCACATTTATTCTATCATTTGAGTCTCACAAAACTCCAATAATATAAGTAAGGCAAGTACTATCTCAATGTAACAGGTGGAGAAACTGAGGCATAGACCATGTGGTAGAATATGGAGCATATTGAACTGGAAACCAGGAGAATCTTGGGTAATCTACTTCCCTTTTCTGGGTCTTATTTTCTTCATCTACAGAGATGAGGGGGTTAGATAAGATGACCTCTAAGTTTTTCACTGACAGAATCATTCTGGTTCTATTTATAGAGCATTTTAATACTATTTCAAAATATTTCTCATTTGTGGTCTCATCTGACCATCATTATGTCCTTGTGAGGTAGGTAGGAAGGCAAGTGTTAGCCCCATTTTACAGATGAGGAAACTAAGCCCCAGAGGGATTGTAACTTTTCCAAGATCATATAGTTAGTGGTAAAACTGGGACTAGAACCCAGATCTCTTGGGGGCTTGACTGGCCTTTCCAGCAAATTTCACCTACCTCCTCACAGGAGAATTGGGGGTATGGGTAGGAGTGGATTGGAGAGTAGCCTGGTAAAGACCTGTCTTTGTTACCAGTGACTTCCATCTAAACAACAGAGATTTTTCAGCCAAAACTCTAAACTCAGAGCATTTCTTCCTGGAAGTTGTGACCTAAACTCTTTGTCCTATGAACAGAGATGTGCTGGTAAATGTTTAACAACTGGCTCTCTGAAAAACATGACACACTCTTAAGTTTTCCAATATCACTTTCTTAACTCTAGACAATCAACGGAATAATAAATCAAGTCCTGATTTGTAACATTTGCCATTTTGAGGTAGAATTGCTAACAGCGAAAATTTTTTTCCCCAATATTTTAACACTTTTATTTAAAGTTTTGAATTCCAAATTCTATCCCTCCCTCCCCCTCCCCTTCCCTTTCCCTGAGATGGCAAGCAATCAGATATAGATTATATATATTAGTCATTTTGTACAAGAAGTCTTGAATAAAAGAAAAAGAAAGAAAAAAGAAAGAAAGAAGAAGGAAGGAAGGAAGTGAAAATAGCGTGCTTTAATTTGTATTCAATCAATATCAGTTCTTTCTCTGGAGACAGTATGCTTCATTATTAGTACTCTGGGATTGTCTTAGATCATTGCATTGCTGAGAACAGCTAAATTATTCATAGTTCTTCATCAAACAACATTGCTTTTACTGTGTACAACATTCTCTTGGTTCTGTTCACTTCACTATGCATCAGTTCATGTAAATCTTTCCAGGTTTTTAACAGTGAAAATCTAACTGTTGGCTCTCGTGAACTTGTTTGAGCAGGTTCCAGTTCACTCCTGCTGGCCCTTGTACGCAGTATTCTACTGAATAACAAATCAAACGTGGGAAGCACTGCAGAAGTTAAAGTTTTGTTGGCCCTGACACATCTTCTCTCTTCCCTATTGGAAAAACATTGGTGGCTCTCAATCACTTATAAGACAAAATTGTTGTTGTCGTTCAGTCATTTCAGTCCTGTCTGACTTTTTGTGACCCCATTTGGGGTTTTCTGCACAAAGATGCTAGAGTGGTTTGCTGTTTCCTTCTTCGCATCATTTTACAGATGAGGAAATTGAGGCAGAGTTAAGTGACTTGCTCAGGGTCACACTGCTAGTAAGTATCTGAGGCTGGATTTGAATTCAGGTTTTCCTAACTTCAGGCCCAGCACCCTATCCATTTCACCACCTAGCTGCCTGTAAGACAAAATACCAACTTCTTAATCTATCGTTTAACACCCTCCACAACTTGGCCCCAAACCACTTCAGAAGAGACCCCATGCAGGCTCTATTTCAGTCAAACCAGACAACTAGCTGTTCTGTGATCTCATCCTGCACACTCACCTCCATGCATCCACGCAGGCCGTCCCCCGAGCGTGGAATGCAATCCCTCTTCTTCTTAGTCGGTCAATACGATAGTTAATAAATATTTGTTGAAATCTTTCTCTTCCTTTAGTACCCAGACCAGGTGTCACCTCTTCTGTGAAGCTTTCCACGATTCCTCCGGCTAAAAGTGATG